CAGCTTTGACGTTTTTTTAAGCAAAGCTGTTTCCAAGGTAAAAAATGACTTTGATAATCATGTTATCATAGTGAATCTTCAGGCTTTATTGCTACGACAAATACATTTTTCCACTCATTATAATATTTAACACTTTAACAATTTCACTGTTACTGGAGAACATAATTCTGCTAATACAGTAATCAATAAATCAAATAATGAATTTTGTCCAATTAGGCTATAATTGCTGGAATTCAGGGATAATGTAATCCGTTAAACTTTGCCAGTAACCTCCTAAATCCAGGGCAGGAGGGAGATTCTCTATTTTGGGCACAAGTCTCATGTAATATTCATTAACTTTACCTCTTACTGCAGTCACTTCCTAAAATGTCTTGTTATTCTGTTATTTTGGGCTCTGAGATGCCGACATGGTCTATTTTTAGCACTAAAAGGGTCACTTTGGATTCGCATTTTGAGCGCAACCCTGTTTATGAGTTCTCGTATTTTCCCTAGAGACGTTGAGAAGTGAAACTCACTTCTGTCTGCGCACACAGCCAGACTGTTTGTAATCCACTGGCTTGCATAGCTTGGTATGTCTTTCTACAGTTCTGCAGCATCACTGATGATAAATCATTCATTACCCATCAGCAAATGAGCAGATATACTTAAGCTCTTTCTGTTTTTCTGATGTTTATACTGCTTGAGGATTGGACTTTAGCTCAACTAAACTCAGTGTTTCTGGCTTTCTAATTTCATGGCCACAATGAAAGCGCAAATACCAGTATTTGTTTTGTGTCATTTTTAGCAGTTTAAACAAAGAGGAGGACCCAGTTGCAGAAAACAAAATGAACTTATTCTACAAAACGGCAAACAACAAAAGCTTAATTTCCATACCAAGGAGGTAAAATTGTTCAGATTGGTGGCTAAGCAGGGCAAAGGGAGAGCAGGAACCTTTAAGCGGACGGACTGAAGGTAGGGCATGAGCCAGTTCAGGAGGCTGACCAAACAGGGGAAGCAGTTTCAGGAGGGCGGCTTGGAGGCAAACCACACAGGGGAGGCAGTTCAGGAGGGCGACTAGGAGGTTTCGGCCTAGCCATCAACAGGGAAACCGGCAGGTGTAAACCAGACCACCAATGGGGACACTGGAGTGGGCAGGGTCTCTGACAGGAACATAGGGGTTGGGCTGGAGCTTGGGCTGGTTTACTAGATGCCAGGACTGATGCTTGGGCTTGTACGCACGCTGTTACGAGACTCTAAGGAGTTGAGCGGCTCCAAGGCGAGGTCCAGCAAAAAGACAACAGCAGAGCTGGATGATATTGATTCTTGACTTTGTTGATAACAAGGACGACCACGTCTCCTTCTGTGGCCACCACGGTAACAAGTTAAAAAAAACAAAAAAAATAACACTTAAGACTAAACTTGGAAATAATACAATAAAAATACACACAAAGGAAACAAGCAACACCAGGGAAGAATGAGACAAAATAAAACAGGAAAGTAAATTTTAACACTGAAATAAACACAGTACAAAACTAAACAACAAAGAGAGAGATACAGGAAATTAAAATGTGCCTTGTCTACTATTAAAAATAGGACTACATTAGTTTTCTTCATTAAATTTTTTTTTAAAATCAGTTTGATAAACATTACTTCTAATAATAACAGCAATATAATGATACTATTATACTTAAAATAACATTGTGTTTTCTCTAATTCTCAGGAAGGTTCGATGCAAAAAGAAGTATGGTTTAAAGAAGCAGTGTACAAAATGATCTATCCTAATACTCATCCATTTATAGGTCTTCTGTTTCTCCTCATTGGTGTAGGATTAACATCGTAAAGTCGACTCCTTGAAGTTCGTGACACAGTTCATGTCCAAATACCTTCTTCAAAAAGTGTTTTAAATCCTTAGAGCTTCGTAAGCTGCTGCTGGATGTGTGAATGGAATCTCCTTGTAAAAACAACACAGGGATTATACTGAGAGTGACCTGGCCTCGACACAATCCGTTTTTGTGTCCTGGTTGTTTGTGATTACACACACGTGAAGATATTCTGCACTGGTTAGTTTAGAAAACAGAGAATGAAAGGCACGATGGATGTATGAGAGAGATATTTCTGAGTCCTTTTGATGGTAACTGATATTCTGTATTTGTACTGTAGATACATTATACATTTAAAAAAAAATCCATAGCAGCAGGCCGTCCCCACCAACGATCCAGAGGAACCCTACGAGACAAGAGAGCTGTGACATATATTTTCACAACTTGAGTGTTCAAAAATGTGTTGCCTGTTAATGGCTGTCGATTTATCAGTCTTTAATTCATTTGTCACTGTTAGAAAACCAATATGAGATTTCAAGTTGATTTCAGATGAATCATAATGTTTCTGTGGCACTCTGCAATTCACAGAATGAATCTTGTTTAGTTCCCTATGAAACAACATTTTAAGTGTAAAGGCCTTTTAACATACAGAGTTGATAGAAGAAGAAACAGATACTTTATTATATATTCTGAGGGGAAATTCTCTATCTTAATTTTCACTTTACACATATAGGCCAGGAATGCTCACTCATTCACACAAAACAGGATCTGATGGTCATGCACTAATCAAGAGATGTCAGAGTGAAGGGGCTGTACATGGAATGTGCATCCACTCATTGTGCATGTAGGGGGGTCGGTGCCTTGCTCAAAAGCACATTGGCAGTGCTCAGGAAGAGAACTGGCACCTCTCCAGCAACCAATCCAATTTCCCATACTTTGGTCCGTCAAATACCGGGACTAAGTTACACTATGAACTCTTTGGAATGTGATCCAGCCTCCTCCATGCTCAGACAGACTGACAGGCTGTCACACAGTATTTTTTTCCCATTACACTGTCAGGTCTCGTCAACTCTGACCGAGTATAATTCTTCCTTTGACGGATGACTTGTCGTTATGATCGTTCTCAAGTATACAACAAAGTCTGCCTCCTCTGCCAAAATCTTAAAGCCCTGAGATATGAAGGATTGTAAAGCATGGGCTCCCTATTGGGCTGCTGCTCCTAATTATTGTCATTACTGATTAAGCCACAGATTATTTCTTGATCAACAATTCATATTTTTTCCGCACATAAAATAAGATGGGACTTCTTTTTTGTGCAACTTACACTCAAAACCAAAGATATTTGATTCACAATTTAAAGACGAAGGAGAGGTACAGTATGCATTTGAAAGTGGACATTTTCATTATTCAAGTAATCTAGTTTTAGACTCAAAGTTTCATCTCCCTCTGGCTGCGTTTTGTCTGTTGTTGTAGTGCTCACATACAGAACCTTGCCAATAAACTGATTTTAATTTACGATATTACAATTTTTCAATGTTACATTTTGCATCTACTCAGCATACAGTATTCTTCTACTTGCCCTAATTATCTTTAAACTTTTCATGTTAAAAATAAAACTTCAGAATATCTTTGGTCTATTTTGTTTTTGAAACTTTTGGAGGCATCGTGTTGAATGCTGTCGGAATAACTATGACTGGCAATTTTCTCAGGCAATTCACCTCAAGTAAACTTTTACTTCAGTTAAATTCCCTTGCAGCCATGGATGTGAGAAGCAAAACAGCTTCATTGTGGCTTAATAATAGAAGACAAGTGGATGCTCCATACCTAGCCTTCATCTGCCGGCTACCCACTGACATTCAGCCCAATTATTCATACTTGCTTGAACCTCACTACAGCCAACAGGAGAGGATGTCCTTTAAAAAGTAAAGACATCAAGAAGAAAGTTATGTCACTTTGATCCTCCAGGCATCTTTATGTTTTCCCTCAGATACACAGCAGAGCCTGCTGGCAGTGTCTGCCATGGGGATTGCTCTTTGGAGAAAACATGGTCTTTGTGATTTGTGTGGTATTTAATGGTTCTTGTGGTTACATCAACTTGTTGAGCCCCCAAGCTATTTAACATCAGAAACATTCAAGAGTTTAAAACTTAGTGCAGGAGTCTTACATGTGCACAGAACTCAAAGTTGTGGTTTGTCTAACAATTAAAGCTGTAGTTACTGTGAAACAGAATTTTTCAAACTAACCTGTTTCTAACCTGTTTCCAGTTAACCTCCTTAAATATGAGACGTTCCATCAGGTGTTTTTTAAAATAAATTTCACAACTTCTTCAGTATTTTGTACCACTGTCCCATTTAAAAAAATAAACATGTTGTCATACATCAAATTCAAAATTGGCAATTGTGTTTGCAAAAACAATTACATTTCAGTTTCAGTTTCAACATTTCATATGTTGTGTTTGTGCTATCTTCAATCAAATATGGTCTTTCAGTGTTTTGCAAATCTGCACATTCTGTTTTTATTTACATTATACACACTACCCAACCTTGAAGAAGAGTTTTACATTTACAGGACCTTCATTTTTTAGGACTTACTGCAATTAAAATCAAATAACACATCACAGGCCTAAAAAACAACTAATACATTTGTTGAGACAAATGTGTTGGAAAAAATGTTTCTGTCACACTTTCGGCACAAAGAGAGCAACATTAGCGCTCATTCAAAGCCAATTAAAAACAGCTTTTCTCCATTTTAATTTTGGTTTCATTATTATAAATAATGGGAATAATCAGGCTGTTCAGTAACAAAATGATACACTGTGTTCACTGACTGGCGCATGGCAGATGGAGCACACTGATTTTTCTTTTTTAAACTTTGTTTGGAAATAACTATTGTTAACTATGCAATTGCTACTCGAAGTGCAGTACTGTATGTGAGCTGTAGTGTAGTATAAGAGTAAGACTAAATAAAACAGATAAATTATTCATAGAAACATACTGATAAGTGCTGGTTTCAAAGCTGATTCACTGCTCTCTGACAAGGATTAAGAGAAAGCTAGCTAACAAAAAGATTCTGAACAATAAAACAAGATAAGTTGAGGATGTTCAATGTTGCCCTCATAGAGTCATGTATTTTCCTGCTTGCCGTCATTAATTGTTTGTGACTGCATCATTATATCTTTGTTTTTTTTCTTTGTTGCTTCAGGGTGACCCCACAAGATGGAGAAACGTCCCCCCCAGGTGCTGCCGGCTGTTCAGATGAGCCTTTAGGTGCTACAGGTGGCGCTGGTGCTATGGCAATGCCTGCCACCTCCACCCTCTCATTGCCCGTTAGCCAGGGTAAACCTTCTCTGCGTCGCATCAAAGGCCGCATTCACCGCAGCAAGAGCCTGGACAGCATCGACCTGCTCGACTCCAATGTAAGGCTCATTCATAATTCAGCAACACAGCAGCAATTATTGTATTATTTCTGATCATTTTTTAACGATCAATTGACCCTGCTCCAAGAGGTCATTTTTAAATATCTTGTTTTATTCAGCCAGCACACCTATATCCAAATATATACTGCAAATGTTTGGTATTTGTGCCCAAATAAGTTAAAAAATTACAACAGTGAGGACACAGACATGATTTTTTTTAAACAGAACTATTTTTATTTTGTATTCCTGCACCAAAATATTTCATCGTCCTTTTTAAATACAAGCTGTTGTTACATTTATGATATTACAATTTCTGTCATTTCAAGGGAGAATATCACAGAAGCCCAAACACATTATTTTTCTCCTAATGGTTTCATTTGGATCTAATGTTAACACAAGCTCTAATGCCCTCACACACACACACACACACACACACACACACACACACACACACACACACACACACACACACACACACACACACACACACACACACACACACACACACACACACACACACAGGGTGACCTTTGGTTATGCAATATTTCCTTGATTTTTTTAGATGAGCACAGTTTAACACATTCCATATGTCTCGCTGTGTGCCTGGTTTATTCTCATGAAAAGTATTAATCTGATAAATGATTGGGTAAGCTGCTTGGACCTAAAAAGCCTCACTAACTCTGGGATTGTCCATTCAGCTGAGAACTGCGTTTGGCCCGCCCTCTCCTCCCCTTCAACTCATGCGTACTTGTGAGTGTGTGTTTGTGAGTGTACCTGTGGGTGTGTGTTTATGAGTGATGTGGCTTTTGGGAAGGCACCCAACGGTTTTATGATGTAAAAGCATGCCAACCTGCTACTAATGCATGCTTGGTAAGGCTGGTTTTTTTTGTGTGTGTGTGTGTGGCATGAGACCACAGCGGACACAAAGATACAGATAAATCTCTCTACTGTGGAGGACTATTTAACCTGTCTCTCTCTCTTCTGTACTACTTTCTTTATGTTTTAACCTTGTCTAGATGTCTCCTTTGATAAATGTTCACAGTGTGTTTCCTCATCTGCCCCCATCCTGCCTCTCCATGTTGACAGTCTTCTCCATGCATGAGTGTATGCGTTTAAGTGTGTGTGATCATTAGGTGTTCAGTATTTCAGCTGGTTCTTAATGTGGCTGCTGCCTGGTGTGTTTTTATTAGGAGTCATCCCTCTTTCTTTCCACAGCAGCCAGCTGGTTGTCATTACAGGAGTGGGATTGCTTATGATTACGTTTAAAAGAGACTGTTTTTTTTTTGCAGTTCACACAAAAAAATCCATTATTGATGTGATGGGGTGTTGGAGGTGGACGCAGGAAGTCACAGGATGGGGGGGTGACAGTCAGGAAACACGCTTAGAGATGACACAGCACAACACGGCCGACCTGAATGATGCAACACACACACACACACACACGCGCACACACACACGCACGCACGCACGCACGCACGCACGCACGCACGCACGCACGCACGCACGCACGCACGCACACACACATTCACAAACACACACACACGTAGCACAAGCACATTCACTCCTGTGTGACCAGGCGGTCAGTTTCATTGACATCTGACATGAAGTTTCCTGTCAGGTTCTAATTGTGAGACAGAGGTGAATATATCTCATAGATTTTTGGAAACAACCTTGAGTGCTCCGCTTCATTAAATTTGGCAGCGATGCGTCTGGCCTAAATCTGAGTTATTTTCTGCCTTTACTGATGTGAGTGAAGTCAGAGCAGAGGTGGGGAGTTCCGGAGCTGTAGTGGCAGACGGTGAATGAAAGTTTGATGGGATTTTTTTTTGTTGTTTCCACTCCAATCACTTGTAGCAGTTATAGAGCACTTTGGTGCAGATGGGAGAGATGGTTTTTAGACTTACCAGTCAAATTACGGGGATTAAAACTGGGCTAAATGTTTCTGGGGATAGCTGCCGGTTTTTGATAGGTACTATGATTGGCATGTGGATATTATAAATCAGATTTTAGTTCTGTAGTTGTGGTCTATGAAATGTAATATAAAAAAACCTTTGAACAATACCTACTCAATCTGCTTTTTTTTAAAGAAAAGAAAGATTGAAAACAGTAAACATGTAAAACTATTTAAATGGATTTGGAGTTAAGTGGTTGCACAACAGAGTTGTAACATCAGAACAATTGAAGGTACATTTCAGGCCGAATAGCAAGTCTTGTGTCCGTAGACAGAATTTAAAAGTAGAGACAGGCTCAGGTTGAATAATGGCAAATGTTCCAAACTTTGGTACCAGTCCAGCAAAGCCTCGATCAGCCTTCACCTTTTACCTGCACTCTGGTTCAAGCCTAATCCACAAGATCTAAGAAGCCTTTTTGGACAGTAGGGGGTTAAAAGTTCACTCAGGTAAAGCTGTCATGTAGAGGGAATCTCTTGGGCTTCAGCCCCTCCACAGGTGTAGGTCAGTGCTCTCAGAGAAGGATCCTCAAAGTCAAACATTACAGGCATGATTTGAAGTATTGAATATCCTCCTAAACACAGAGAGTCGCCTCTCATTGGTTGCTAGAAGTGGGAGGTAAGCAGGCATAATAACCAATACTGTGGCAGCACTTATGTGTAGCCCTCTAATACAACCATCCTATCAAGGTGTGATAATGTTTACAATATATTCAACATTTACAAGACGACAACAGTTGCTCTTAAAAGAAACATAAATAATAGTACCGATTTGTTTTTCAAATTTGTATCTGTACTGTTTGACTCCAGGGGAGGACGCAGCGTGCATCAAAATGCCACTCTCTCAGCTCCTCAATAAATGACCTTAGGTGATCTGTGTGCTCCGGTATTTTCTTTGGTTTCTGCCTGTGTGTAGTGTGTAGTCCATTAAAACACATTGTAAGTCATGGTAGAATTTTAAATGTATGATAAAGTTAACTGGTAATCAGTTCAGAAGAGTTTTTAAACTGGGTGATGCTAAAAGAGTGTTTGTTATTGTCAGAAGTCTGCCTGAGTTCTGCACAGTCTAGACTTTAGCTTCATCTCTGGCACTGAGGCAGATAAACAAGTCATTATATTTCACCCGTGAGGAAATGAAAGTATGAATTCACTTATCTGGATTGCTAAAGAATAACATTTCATCTGATCTTTGACTATTTCTGTGACTTGTTTCGTCGTGATCTAAGGTATCGATCTTTGCAGTGTCCTTAAAATGAGTAACAAGGAGGCCGATCATTGGCTGGACTCGATGACAGCGGATGATAAGCATTTTATCAGAGTTGAACAGACACGCAGTCTCTCACATGCGGCTCTGATGTTTTGCCATCTTGTTGCATTAAGAGACTTTGATTGAGAGATACAACTGAATATCACAGGCATAATAGTGAAATGAAATGTCATGGTGACAGACTATATGACCTTAGCATATAAAGGGGATAAGAAGAGAATGTGACCAAGAATCTATCCCTGAGGCATGCTGTAGATTTCCTTCACAGTTGCAGAGATGAATCGATTTAAACATACATTTTTCTATTTGATAGGTTTAAGGAGAACCACTTCAAGCTGTCCAGAAAATGTTTTATTGTCTAATATGATAGAACTCTGTTTTTACAGTTTTTGTGCTCCTTTCACTGTTTTTTCTTAAAGGCAACGTCTTGTAATCACTCAATATAAAATATAAAAATGGTTGTCGGTCCATCTAATCATACCACACCTGATGAGGCAGATTCCCAGATTTGAATTCCTTCCAAATGTCACTTCATCTTTTGCCCATTTAGTCATAAGTGTTTAACAGTTGTGAAATGTTTTTACAGGTTTACATGTTTTTACAGGTATGAACACTTACCCAGCTAACTTAACTAGTTTCATATAGTTTAAAGCATGCATTTATTGACCTAGTTGTAATTATTCTACTAGACATTACTTAATAATCAGATGATGTCATTTTCACAAGTTTCCACATATGTAAAGGATAATGTATAGAGAGCAGGGCAGAGGGGTTTCATCTCAGTCTGCAGGGGTTCCTCTACAATAACAACCCGCTCACTATTCTCTCTTATTACACAGCTACTTACTTAAGAAATCAATCATCTTATACAAAAGGAAATGATTGTAAACTTCTTTCATTGATTTTAAAAAGGCATATTCCTTTGTGTTGATGTTCGTGATACTAATGACTGCCCTGAATTGTACTTTAGTTAAATGAATCATGGATGACGTGAGTCTTTGAGGGGATACCCATTAACAATAGCATCAAATGCTAAGAAATTCAGCCGGGGTATTCCAGCATCTCTGTCTGCCAGCACTTATCAACATTAAGCAACTGACTGACGAGCTCCCTGCTACCATGAGCCACCACGATCACATTACTGTACACAGAAACACTCATCACTCGTTTCAATAAGACCCTCGTTAAGTTTTCATCGGCGTGCACAAGTGTTTCTTCCTGGATTTTTACCATCTTGAGGTGTAATCATTACACATTGAAGAGAGCTTTATCTGAGAGGACACTTTGACATGTCACAGTGGGAGGTGGAAATAATAAAATTAATGAAGTCTGAACTCCACTTCGCCGCTTCACTTTGGGGATCCTGGTAGTGTGTATGCTTGCTCATCGTCAAACTGTTAATTTATGGGGACACGGGAATGGAACCTTTGTTAATGATAGCAATAATATATAAACCTTTCTGTCTATGACCCATCAAAATATCTTTCAGTTTCACAATTACCAACTAAAATATTCACCTCAAGCATTTCACCACCACAACTTGTCAAGACGCTGTTAGGCTAAAAATAAAGGCACTCTTACAAAGTGCAATTTTAAACTTAAAACGATTATTAGTGTGGCTTGAAAAGCGACATTTGTTTGCTTCTATTGGGCCACAGAACACTTGATGTGTGCACATTTAAACATGAGATCCAGTACCATTTAGACAATTTGTGTATTTACTAGTGGACAGTGTGGATGTGGTTGATTTCATGTATGAACAAAACCATGAAAAAAATACAGATC